GGCATTGTGTGCTGAGGCTCTTTGGGAAGCTGGAGTTTGAGGAAGCCGATGGCTGTCTTGTGGCCTACCAGCAGGATTAGGTTCTCCTCCTTGGTGGGCAGATGTCCAGCTTCCACTGCCCCTTGTCTCGTGCTGATACTGTCTGGAATTCCTCAAGGCAGACTCTTGTGGAGAGACCAGGAGATGCCCAGAATGCACAGTTGGAGAGGAACTGCGGCAGTTGGTCCATCCCAACCCAGCTCAGAAGGTTTCTGGGGAGTGTAAGTCACTTTGGCGGCTGTGAGCCGATGCTTTGTGACAAATTGACTCCTTCAGAGCTCACCCAAGCATATGTTGTGCAGATTTCGTAAAACCTGAGGAGTAAATTGTATGCTGCCTGGGAGTCAGAGGGAACTGAAGCCTCTAGCATGAGCAGGCAATTGCTTAGAGAAACTCATCCCTCTCTGCATTAGACATCTGACATGCTTGTGTCTACCCGTGTGTTATTTCCATAAAGTCCTTCATTTTGAAATGGGCTGCTGCAAATACACGCAAGAGAAAACTAGGATGCTGTGTCCTGGCATGACCCCATGCTGGAGAGGGAAATAGCAAGAGTGCCCACCCATGGCAATGTTTCTGAAGAAGTATTTTCTTATTGCTGGGTGTTACCGGGCTATTTTTAGAAGGGTCCTGATAACTCTGCAGCCAGTTCTTCAATATTAGGATGGGAAGTAGCCTTTCCCAGTATACTGACACTACTCTAATTTGGGCGGCTGCATTCCTCCAGAGTAGATCTATCCTGCAAATTTTTTCACGTATCTTAAGCTTTAGCGTAATACTGCTGCAAGTAGTTGAAAAACTACTGCACTTCACCCCAGAAGTGGCTGTATTTTTGTGCTGGGTGACTTTTTAGGATGCTTTGGGATGAAAGAGATCATCTATAAGCTAGACTTTACCTCACTGTGGAGTCATTCCTAGTCACTGGGCAACTTTTGAGAAAAATAAAACTGGTGAATGCAGGGAGTAAACATGTCTATTTTTATAGTTTGCCTTCCAAGTCAAACAAAAATAAGAGCTGACTTGAGGCTGGTGATTGCATGACAGACTGTTAACTGAGAACTGACAACACAGGGCCGGATCCTCCCTGCTTGAAGTCAGAATGGCATTTCTGGAGTCGGTGGAGTTCAAGTTCACGCCCTCCAGCCCTGCGGCTTGTAGCTGTTTAAAAGTTTAATGTGACATAGTGGGGCAGTCAGGTGAGCCACGCGTGGTCGGTGTTCGGATGAAGACCTGGAGTTAGCGGTGGATATTGGTGATTCAGTTGCTATCTGCATCCTCTGCGTCAGCATCGAACTGATGGCTCAGCATGAGCTGGCAGAGGTCTTGCCTTCCACCCCAAGACCCAGGCACGTGCAGACAAGTTGAATTATCGTTACCTTGGGTAACTGCTCACCTGTGCTGGGCTGCACAACCCTTCCCTGGAGTTCAAGGGACAGCTTTTTACCCACATCGTTCTTCCAATGCTGCAGAGCTGCTTTGCTTCCTTTCCAAATGGGGAATTTCCAAATTGCCATATATAGATAACCCCTCCAAACAAAAACTTTTATGCAGAGCTGAAACAAGGCTGTGTTCCCAAAAGGCTGTTTGTTTCAGCTGCGGTAATTTGTCTCGGAAAGGATATTGCATCTCTTCAGAAACTGCCTCTTGTTTACATCCCCAGAATGTCAGGGCAGCTGCAGCACGCCACCGAAGCCTTCCCGCGCGCCGAACGCTGAAGGGTAGTACTGAGGGTTTGTGCTGTACAATGTATGTCTGAGTCTCAGTAATATCACAACCAAAATACGGTAAGTTGGCTGTTGGAGGGTTTTGTTTGGAGTTTTTTTTCTTGTTTTTCTTTTAACAATTGTTAATTGTTGCTGAGCTGTTCTTGGCACGGTGAGATAATCGTCCCGAGTGAACTTCAGTTAAGTCAGTGACAGGTGGAGAACGTGAGCTTAGCAGTGATGGGGAGCGGAGCTTAAGCTGAGATCTGCAGCCAGATTCTGATGGCGTTTAAACAGGAGCAAATCTGGAGCGGTGCTGCTGGCTTCACAGTGCAGGATGCAACTAGGGAAGAATCAGAGTATACACATGCACCAGTCTTACTGGAAACAGGATCTGTCAATTACAGTAAAGTTTAAAAATAAAACAAAATTGTATAAGATCTAATTATTTTTCGGGCTGTTTTTTCCTGCTTCCACCTGTCCCAGCAGGACTTGCATAGAGATAAAGGCTGAAATCTCTCCAGGCTGCAGGGTGTGAGACTGAAAGGCATTCACATTGATAAACTCACAAAAGAGGGAATTATTCTAAGATGAGCAATGCTTCCGTCGAAAGACTTCCTTGGGAAGTGAGTAATGGAAGGAAATCATCTCCATATACCCACCAGCCCTAGTCAAGGGGCTATGAACACGCATCCGTGAGCCCTGGCAACCAGACCCATAGCGTTTCTAGCCCACTGTCTTTGCTGTCATTTTCTCTGACAATGGGGCAGAAGGAGGATAGGACCGGGAGCAGATGGATGTCCAGGTTAGGTGATGAGAAGCAGATGGTTTGCAATGGGGCAACGCTTGCTTCCTTCAGCCCATCCCTTCCACGTCCCAGGTCCAGAATACAACCAGTGTGAGAGCGGCAAGTAGGATATAGTCACCAGAATGGCAAGTAGGTTATGTTCACCAGCAGAGAACAAGGATGCGACTGAACAAGTACTTCACTCAACAGTGGTTTGGAACATGTTTTGCCTTCTTGGCTGCCATCATGGTCAATCCATCAGCAAGTGAATTGAATGTGAATCTGTGCAATGAGAATTGATGAATTTGCTCAGATTGGTGAATTAGACCATGGTGTGATTTGCTTTGCTGTGTAATTTTTCCCTGGAATCTTACTTTCCAAATGAGACTACAGAGAGTTTCACTGCTGGAGCACCTGTGTTTCCTACTGACTTCACCGTGAGGGCTGTTAAATTAGCACAACTCTGACGGGGACAGGTCCAAACCACACTGAGTCAGAGGGGAAAAAAAGTCTGCTCTTGATTTCAAAAAGGAATGATCAAGCCCACTGTGCCTATGGTCAGGCATAACTCAGCAGCTCGTATCCAGACTTCTTTCAGTGGGCTGTAACATTAAGAAACCCTGCTCTGTGTCAGGGAAACCAGCTCCACCATAGCTATTGCACCAGGATCCGGATCCCACCGTTGAGGGGATCTCACAAGTTACATGCGGTTGGTATGGGAGCAGGGGTATCTGATTCTCTTGAGTAGCTGGGATAATGCTTATTGCAGCCTGTGTGAATCGGTGGGTGAGGGTTATGCTACGTGGGATTGAGGTATCGTACAACCTGGTATTGCAAAGCTCCTTTGATGCAGCTGGGTACCAAACTGGGAGGAGAAACATAAACAAGTGCCCAGGAAGTTTAACTAGCTGCCTGAATCCATGGTTTCTCGATGGGATCTGATTTCTTGGGCTTGTTCTGGCTTTCCATTTGGTTGATGAGTTTGGATACAACTTTTTTTTTCCCTAACCTGCACAGGTCCTTGGCTCCTAACTCCTGTTCACTTTTTTTACAGTTCCCAGGAGAGAGAAAATCAAATTGGAGGAAATATTGCTCACCAGTTTCAGAAATCCCACAGGCTTCTAACCATTCTTCCTTTGCTACTTTTTAGTCTGTCTTCTTGGTCATTCCTCGTGTTAAGGGAGATGATGATTGATCGGTCTCTTCATAATTGGGTGTAACTTTCCAGCTTTTCTCTACTAGTAATGTTTTGGATCTGTCCAGAAGTAGCGCATGTTAAAACCCAAAGAGAAAGAAGAGAAAGGGACTATTGTCACCTCTGCCTGCTGAGTAGGAGCCAAAAGCAGATGTATGGACAGCAGGACAGCTATGAGAAGGGAAACCAGGTTTGGTCCGGTTTTTGTTCTGGCAAAACTCTCCCGCGTACAGGGGAAACGGAGAGGCCGCGTGCCTGTGAAGGTTGAACTGGAAGTATTTTGGTATATGCTGTCTGCCAAACTCTTCTCCATCCAGTAAGTTATTTGTCACAGGTTTATCTTCAGGCGTGTGAGTCCCCTTTGACTCAGAAGTCACAAATTTGAGAACTTATTTAACGCCATACCAAAGGGAGATCATCAGTGGGCACGTAGCAGGCTGCGTGTACCAGAGGATATTGCTTCATGCCCTGTTCTTCGCGGCTGATGCTCCCCATCTCGACACACTCTGCTTTTCTGGGGGCCTTTGGCACCAGCTCTTCTCCGGGGTAACGCAGCAAAGCACGGTGTGTGTTCGTAGCCCTCGTGTGTGGCGTGGGGCAGCCCACGGGAAGGGAGGGACACACGCTGGGCAGTGCTAGGACCTGGAGGAACGCTCAGCCTGCCTCCTCCCAGAAGATTAGCCAATATTGCCAGGGCAGGGCATGTTCCCCAGCCTTTCTACTTTTTCTTTCCTCTATTTACGTGTTTTTCCTTCTTCTAGTTCATTCCAGAGCAGAGCAGCTTTGGATTTCTCTGAGCTTGCCTTTTTTTTTTCTTCCCCCTGGTAGTTGGGCTGCTGCCAGCATCTTGCAGGGCCAAAGTTTTATCTATAGGGATATATTTATTATTTTTTTTTCAAACCAGTCCAGCTGCACGCAGACTGCCTGCAATTGAATCCACGCTGCCGGGGCAAGTTTAACTCGGGAGAGCAAAAAAACAGCAGGAGCGGTGTTTGTGCCTCTCCTTCAGCTATTCCTGTCAAGATGGATTTATGACTTTAAAAGGAGTGGAGGGGGGGGGGAAGGAAAATTGCCTACAGGAGCCAGAGCTTACACCACAGCCCAGCAAAACGCACATAAAGAAGCAGTCGGATCTCAAGACATGAGCAGCAGAGAAGTGGCACCCTGGGATCTGGTGGATCCTTGCATATAATATGACTGATCTTAAGCTTTTCATCTGCCTTCACAGAGCCAAACTTTTGGATTTAAGGTAGTTTGCCCAGGACCAGACTTTGCTATGTTGGCCAAGACGGTGCTTTCGCTTGGTCTGTGGCTGCAGTTTGCTGTGGGACAGAACGCACCTGAGAGGGGTGAGTACCCGAAAAGGCAAGGTGTTCCCTTACTTTCCCCTATTTAATACCTCCTGGTCCTTCGAGCTTCTCGTAAAAACATTTTCAGCATAAAAACTGAAGTTATATTGCTGCTTAGGTGCATAGTTATATGTTACTTTGCTGGCATAAGGACAAAACAAACAAACAAAACCTTTCTAGAATTGCGATATTAAAAGAAATTTTATCTTGCTTGGTTTTAGTAGCGGAAAGGAAACTGTTTCAGAAACTGCTTGCAGCGTTTAGTGCGATTATATGGAAAAAGTCCTGGCTCCTCTCTGTTAGCTGTGTACTGTGGCACACCAATTAACAGAAGTAAAACCAGTGATTGATACTATACCTGCCTTGTTCTCTTGCTGATCTCTGTAACTCAATCACTACATTTCCTCTTTAAAATGCTTTCTCTTGGAGACTGTTCAGGGCAAACGGTTATGGGTCTGTCTCGCAGAACTGACAGCGGGGAAAGGGCCACGGAGGAGATAAACGTCTCATTTCTGGGTCCTGCACCGGCGTGCTGGGCAGAAGCCGTAGCCCCCGTCGCGATGGTTAAGCTGACGCAATTACTTTTGTTCTGCCTCCTGTTCACAAGGAGAAGAAGGTTCTGCCCTTGGACTGCAGGGCTCCTGCTGGCTGCCTCTGGTTTTCACTGCACCTGGGCAATGTCCTGCGGTGTGAAAGGAGAAGGGAAGCTCTTGTCTACCTGGATGGGAGCTCCTGGGGCTCAGACGGCAGCCCAGACTGCTGGGGTCCGGTTCTGGTATGCAGAGCAGACTGTTTATTGCTCGCATCCCCTTACAGGGGACTGGATTGTGTCCCTCGGTGACACCAGCCAGTTCAGGAATGGTGCTGCTGCCTCTGGCATTGTCACAATGCTGGATGTCCACACAGGGAGCAGTTATTCCTATTGTCATGCATCTCTGCTGCCATGGGAGTGTATGTGGCAGTTCCCCAGCCCAGGCTAAAAAAACCCCAATGCTTAGACCTTCAGAGTATGTGGGAAAAGCAAACCATGGCTTTGCAGAAGGATTGTGCCTTGCTCCAGAAGCGAAGTTGTGCATGTTGCCTTGTTGATGTGGCTGACTTTGGCTTGGAGACTGCCAAGTGCCTTGCGGGGAAATGAACCTGCCGGTGGGAAGGGTGCCCGTGCCCCAGAGGCTTTGATGTGGCGGCCTCCTGGGCTCCTCCTGGGTGCTTCCTAAAGCAACCTTGAGCAAACAGCCAGTCTGGCAGGGCTCCTGGGCATGGGCTAGCTCTTGTCTGGAGGTGCCATGGTGGTGTGCCGTGATCACACAATGAAAGGAACTGTTTGGGAGGTAGGATACATGCTCATAACTCTGTTTCCTAGGGACTTGGACTGAGTGTGAATGATTGTGGCTTTATTCTCAGCTGCAGTGGACAAAGTGAGGAAGCTACTGGGTGCCAGTGGTTTTTCTACATGCAGGGGAACGCTTAGCTCTTTCAGGGCAATGGCTGTTGACCTAGTGCACCAAGGCACAAAGTCAAGGCAGAGCATTGCATGACCAGCTCCACCACTTTCCTCTTTGGGTCCAGGTTTAGATCTCTGTTGCATCAGTGTAAAGTTTGAGCTTTGATAAATGAAACTTAGGCTGTCAGTACTAGTTACTCTGGACGAGCATCAGCAGAAAATGATGGGGATGTTGCCATCCCTGTGGGTGCAGCAAGTGAAACATAAAGACAGCCCATCCATACGCACTTTGTAGAGGGCCCTGCACGTACTGATCTCTGAAGCATAGCTCAGTACCTGGCGTAATTCCTTGATTCCAGGACTCTTGAGACTCTAAATAAAACAGCGGAGATAGTGAAACTCTTGGAAAGATCATAAGAGATGGTAACCTGGCTTCCTCCCTGCCAGAGGAATTCATCTGAAGGGCCATTTCTCAACCTACAGCCTGTAATCTACGGCATGGACGAGCTGGAACCTGCGTAGGCAGTTTGGGCTTTCAGTCACACAAGTATATTTTCCTTGGTGGAGCTCAGCTCCTTAAAAAGGCAAGTGATTTAGCTGTCTCCCATGGCATAGGCCTCTTTCTGATGTGGTTTTTTAAGTGTAAAATACCTCCTGGCTGGCTTGGTGGGATACCTCTCCTTCTGGGAGAGGCCGTACCTTTCTCCTCCTGCCTCTCACTGCCATCCCAAGGGGCCCCAGGGATGCACACACGGCGTTCTCCAGCCTCCAAACCCGGCTCTGCTTCTAGTAGGACTTTTCTCCTTGCATGGCCAAACAATGAGAAGGGAAGACAAACAGGGAATTTCAAACATAGTTAACCAAGACAGGATGTGATATCGTTTTTGGCTGTTAAATCCTTTATGCTCTACAAGTTCCAAGTCCCATGTACATCAGGCATGTGGCGTGTGTTCAGGTCCCAGCTGAGAGCGCAGGGATGAAGCAGATGGCTCCCGTCAGTATTTCGGTGTAAGACAGGGAAGTCTGACCAGCTGTTTTTCTCCTGGAAAAGCCAAGCATTTAAATAGGCAGCACTGTGACTCCATGGTGACATTTTGCTCCCGTATTGATCCCTTCAAAACACCGCTTTGCACGGCTGATCTGTGTCTGCTGACCACGTTACTAGCTAGAGGATGCTGCCGTGTGTTCTCCCTTGTTCCCTAGGCTTAAGTAGAGGAGCAGCAATGATACGAGATCTGCAGAATTATTCCTCAGCTCTTCAGAAGCAAAGGCGTGACAGTTCAGGAGGCAGGGAGGTGCTAATGGATGCTGCTTCTCTCCGAATCCCACTGAAAGTGAGAAATCTTCCTTGGGGATCTTGCCAAACAGCCGGTTGTCTTTTGCTGTAAAGCAGGGAAACTGCTTGAAAACAGCAGCTGCTTGCGTAAGGCAGGGATTTACTGGTAACAGATCTCCACAGCCCCACCTCTGCACGGATGGCATGTTTATATTGGATGGAGGACAAAGAACAGGAAGAAAAATGAGGGAATTGAAAACCTAAACCTGAAGGGAAGGACGACGGAGTGTCCAGTCACTTTATAAGCGTTGCCACACTCTTGATGTAGTGAGATCCTTTGTCTAGATTTCTTTTTTTATGGATCCTTCCTGCTTTATCTAAATGGGAGGAATTTGTTTCCATCTTAGTCAGGGCTGAGTGTTAAGTAAAGGTAACTGTGATGGTATTTGCCTGTATGAAGGATTAGCCTTCTGCTCCACCCACAGACAATCCCTTTAGCTCCAAACTATATACCTGCCCGCCAGCATAACTTGCTTTTTGTTAACCAGTTGTTAACCAGTCGGTGTTAACCAATGCTTTCTACTCTCCAGGCAGAACGTTGTGGTGTCAAGCTGCAGAGCCTCCTAATGAACACAGCTATTTCCAGCAAACATGTATGATGGGGCAAACTGGTGTTTAAAGCATGTTAACATTAAACCCAGCTCTCTCGGTGTCCCAGAGCTGTAGGGTACACTCGAGAGTGCAATTTGACAGGGCCATTGCTCTTGACTCTCCTTTGATGTCCTCTTTTGAGGATGTGCTCCACGCTGGTTTTCACCCATGCCTTCCCCCATGCAGGTAGTTCTGGCAGTACTGGGATTTTGCTTGCGTCGGTTCCCTTGTAATAAATTCCAAATTCCCCTCCCAGAGCGCTCGTGCAGAGTGTGACCTTGTTTCTCACTTGTGCGCAATGTCCTTTGGCCATTGATCCCTGCCCTGCCGGGGTCAGAAGCTTTCACAGAAGCTGTTTGCTGCAACGTTTGGGAAATGAGTGAGGAGCAAAGGGGAGAAGTAATGATTTCCTCCTCAGAGGCGGCAATCGTGTTGCCAAGATCTCTGGCTATGGCTTGCCGGCCAAGTAAGTGGCTTGTACTTCTTCCAGTGGAGGGGAAAGCGTAGAGCCATGGCTACATCTGTTTGCTTTGCTTCGTGCGAGCAGAAGCTCTAAACAAAGCCCTTGTTTCTCTGCCCTGCTGGAATGCCCTTAGGAGGTAGGGAGCTCTAGGAACCGGTGGCAGGGACCCATAGGTCACAGGTTCAGCTCTACTGTGTGATGCGGTGATGAAATCGTAGGATGCTTACTGGACTTGACTTTTATTTTTTGCTCAGCTCTGACTGCCGAGTTGCTGGGGGTTCGTGTCTGCCAGACAGGGCCGAGTTGTGCTGGGTCACGCAGAATGGGCTGTCATCCATGTAGGCTGCAGGTCCTACTCCTGCCACCTCCCAGCATCTCTTGCTTAGTCACCTCCCAGTAACTTTAACGTTCTCCATTTCTGAAGGTTCCTGTGGTTTCAGGAGATCTGGTATGCCTCTGCCATCTCGGCCAACACCTACTGCAGGAGAGTGGTTCCTGTGGGGCCTTGGTCTCTGTAGCAGCACGGTGACTTGTAGGCAGCATGCTTATTTATTTGTGTGTTTAGAGACCATGTGTGCAACCACTCTGGCTTTCTTCCAGCGCACACCTATAGTGTAACACATGCAATAAGTGTGGTCCTGACTCTCACATGTCCCTCCTGTCCCCCATCCTTTCTCCAATGTACCTCTCCCTGACATTCCTGAGCACGTGGACATGAACACTCCTGCCGTGGCACAGACCCAGGCACTCACGCCCTAGTCGCACAGATGGGCATCTGAACAGTACCCAGTGAGGGAAATAAATAGCAGGGTAAAGACTCTTCAGATGAAGACTGGGCAGAAAGGATCAAGTCCCTGTGGCTCAAGCCTGAACTACTTCTTCGCCTTCTGTTTTCCCCCCCCGAACACCTTGTGTTGTACCCTGAATGGCTGCGCTCTTGCTGGTTCGTGATCTTTTCTGTGCTCGGGTCATTAGGTTTCACTGTTAGGACATCAGGTGATCCTGTGGGGTTTTTTCCCAGTTTTACTGCTTGCCCAGAGAAGCTGTGGCTGCCCCATCCCTGGGAGTATTTGAGGCCAGGTTGGATGGGGCTTTGAGCAACCTGGTCTGATGGAAGGGGTCCCTGCCCCTGGCAGGGGGTTGGAACTGGGTGAGCTTGAAGGTCCCTTCCAACCCAAACCATTCTGTGACATGTTATAGACCCTTTCTTACCCACTCGCTGTTCCCTTGCCCTGGTCCTTTCCTTCCTCTTGATTTTACCATCCCATAACCGCGTTTTGGAGTAGTGCCACAGTAGGGACTTAGCAACTCCCTGCTCATCTTTGCCAGGCTCATTGCTGTCTCTGGGCCTGCCTTGACATGGCTTTCTGCAAGGGAGAACTGTTTGCATGAGCTGTCTCCTTAGAGCAATTAATTTTACAGGAGCCTTTCCATGCAGCTGTCTACTGCCTTGTGGTTTTGGCTCCCACACATGGCTCCAGCACTCAACCGCTGTGTGCGGCACCAAGTCCATCCGTGCTCCAGAACCCCCGTTGCTTGGCTACCCCACATTCCTGATCCCTTCACTGATAGAGGAGCCCAAGTGGGCAGGCAGGAATCTCTGGTCCAAGGCTTTTTCTCCTTTCTTGCACCTCAGAAGTTGTCAGAAAGCAGGGTGGTGGTTAAAAGAATTCCCAATTCAGTATTGATGTTCCAGCTATTGTAGATCTCCCAAGCTTTGGGAGTGGGAGGAGGAGCAGTCCCCTATGCGTTTGTGCTTTCCACGCAGCAGTTTAATTGAAAGGGTAAGAAAAAAAGAGTCGAATGGAGTGCGACTCCAGGCCATACCCTCAGAAGCATGTTGTTCCTGACATGTTGCGTTCTTCTGCACAAATGGGTCTGTGCAACCCTTTCCCCAACATCTTGTCCGGAGTCCCTTTGAGGTGCTGCTCTGAAGACCGTCTGGGAAAGGAGGTCAATATGCATTCAGAAGAGCAAGAAATCATCAATAGGCTAGCTTTTTAAAAGTCATCTAAGGAGGAGTTCCTCCGCTCCAGACTTTCCTACCAACAGGGGTCTAAATGAGGGAGCTTTCTGCCAGTCTTGTGTGGGCCGTAGCCTTTGAACCGAGAGGCGGCCGGTTCTGAGAATGAGCCACCTCTCCTGGGAGAGCAGAGCCAGCAGTTTTTCTCATCAAGTTTCTTTATAATTTCATTCTTTTCCAAATACAGCTCATTTTTCTTCCAGGCACTGCCATTGTCATAAGATAGGATAAAGCTATACGTTGTTTTAGGCCCAAAAGACCTTGGCAGTTGCTCTCAGTCTTGCAATCGGTGGTTTACTTCTTTCTCCGGGACCGCTGCGCGTTAGCAGCAGCTCTGGATGGCAGAGGCTACTCCCTTGCATGGGGCACCACTGACCTGCTGGCTCGGGCTGGTGAGGAATGTTCCCAGCTCCTGGAGCAGGTCCACATCCAGCTTGGAGCAGAAAGTACTCGGGATCAGCCTGGTGTTGTGTAACAAGAGGTGTCAAGTACAAGCTGATGTAGCTCAGAGACGTTCTTTTCTGCGGCACCGAGAGCAGGTTCCAGGACTCGTGGGTTGTACTGTTGGCTCTACCCTGACTCTTGTGCCTCAGCTCCTGCCTCTTTCCGCTGCCCTGGCCTTTCAGTTTATCTGTCCTGGGTTAATAACATGTGCCTGGAAAGACTGGCATGAGGTTTTGTGAGTTGGCGCGGTGCTTGTGGATCCTGTATGAGTGTAGTGTGGAAGTGCTAGGTGTGCTCGGGAGCCAGAGGTCCCGTTGCTCCTGCAACGTCAGGTCCAGGGCATCTCTTCTACCCTGCTTGTGTTGGCTCCTTGCCCTGTTCCAGCCCCTGTCCTTGTGCAGGACCGAAGAATGAGGACGTGAGATTTGTGTCCTGGGAAATGCTGCAATGGCATTTTCTGCTCCCACCTGTTATGCATCTTCACTGAACGTGGACCAGAGGAATATCGAGCATTCATCCTGCCCTCGTTCCATGAGGACCTGTATTTGCAGTAGGGCGAATTCAGGCATATTTCATCCCAGTTTTTCAGGTTTTTTGGACTGCCTCTCCTCTTCCATGACTGGCCTTTTTCTTCTGAGAGACAGGGGGCCTGTTCTGGCCATCCAAGTAGCTCCTTGGACAGTAAGGATCATCCATGTGAATGGAAAGGAGGGAAAAAAAGTAACTATTGCACCTCCTTGCTGTCTTCATCTTTGCAAATGTATAGAACGTGAGTTTCTAAAACAAACTTGGCAACAAAGCCTGGAGGGTGGGGAGCCAATGCAGGCAGGGGGAGGTCTTCTCGCAGCTCCTAGAGAGCTCACCGCAGCGGCCAGGCGAGGTGCATCTTCAGCCTTACCTCTGTTGAACGGTGATTGATCTAGGGGAGGTGCAGAGCATGTAAAAGGAAGAAGCTCCAAAAGGCAAAATTTGTCTGTAGCATTGGCCTTTGCCAAGAGGCAGAGGACAAGCTGGACATAGCAGGGCTGAGATGTGCTGACTGTTCACTGTGAGTCTCTGTTGTCTGTCTCCACCGACCGAAGTACGTGGAGTATCGGACCTGCAACACTCATGTGCTTGGATATTGTGCCGTTGTTCACGGCCACGGACCAAGCACACCACTGGTGCTCAGGGCTGCTGCTGCTGTATTGCTGAGATGCTCCAACTGTTCCTTTGCATGTCTCATCCTCTTGGCCAACATGAAACCCTGTGGGATGGGTGGTGTGTTTGAAGTGTGCTGCTGAGGGGGTCCCATGGCCAGGTGGATCAGCGCAGGGCTGCTGTCCTGCGGTGCCTCCAAGAGCTCTTTCCAGCTCTGCTGCAGTGCTTTGGCTTCCCTCCTTGCAGTGACCCTCTTGGGCAGGGTCTAGATCAGGCTAAGCAGATGTGACGTCCCAAAGAAAGCAGTGGGAGACAAGTAGTCCAACGCAGGTCACAATCCTCCTATTCAGTGGTGTGGTGGTGGGGGGTCTCAAACTTTTTTCCTCTTTCTCTCTGTGATCCTGTAACCAATTCAGGTTCTTGAACCTCAGAGGACTTAACCAGTTTTCTGTTCACAACAGAAACAGCTTTTTTGGCAATAGACTTTAAAACAAAAGGTGCTAAGAGAAGTTAGTTTGTGAACAATCACAGGCAGGCCTCTGGCTAACACTTGAGTGTTAGCATCTCAAAGTGTTCGCAAAGAACGGTTGTGATCAAACTGCTGAGTCTAAGCAAAGCTGTCCAATGACGGGAGATGGGGTGAGCAGTTCTTGCAAATCCTGAGGTCTCTAACCAGCAAAATTCTCACTCAATTCTGAGATTTGGCACAAGATAACCAAGCTTTCCCAGCAGATGCCTGTGCAGGTATGGGTTCACATCATTCCACTAACGTACCTTCCTCTCTCTTCCCCTGCTAGGTCCCCAGCCATCTATTTCCAATTCAGAGGGGGACCTCCTCTTCTTGCTGGACAGCTCTGGCAGCGTCTCCTACTATGAGTTTTCCAAGGTCAAGGAATTCATCTGGGACCTTGTGCAACCTTTCACCTTTGGCCCCAAAGATGTCCAGGCCAGCATCATCCACATCAGCACTACGCCCACCATGGAGTTCCCGTTTGACCGGTACCTGTCTAGCGAGACTGTGCAACAAGCCATCCAGAACACTCGACAGCTCATGGGTGACACCAACACAGGCAAAGCACTCTCCTATGCCAAGGAGAAGTTCTTCAGTGATGAAGCTGGTGCTCGGCCAGATGTGCCCAAGGTACTGGTTTGGGTGACAGATGGTTTCTCCACTGATGACATCTCTGAACCCATGCAGCTCCTGAAGGACATGGGAGTGACAGTCTTCATCGTCAGCACTGGACGGGGGAATTACCTGGAGCTCTCGGCTGCTGCCAGCCAGCCTCCTGAGAAGCACCTGCACTTTGTGGATGTTGATGACCTACCCATCATCACACAGGAGCTTCGAGATGCTATCCTAGGTACGGTGGGGTTGGGCTGTGGTCACTGGGAGTTTGCAATAGGGCTGAATAAGAGTTAATGCCTGGCTCTGCAGGGTAGGCAGCGTGAGAATCCCCTAAAACCAATGGTCCTCCTGACCCACAGCTGCTGCCCTTGCAAACTGAGGTGCTTTATCCACAATGCTGTAGGTCCAAGTATAAACCAAGGCTTTGAGGAGGTCTGGGACAAATATCTCTGTTGCTCTTGGAAGGTCCCATGACTGATTGGGACAAATTCCCTTCTGCAGACCTGTTGGTGAGATGAACTTGTGTTTGTAATGAGTTGTACGGTTGTTAATGAAGGAAGGAGGCTCAGGCAACATATTATCTAGATTCTTTAAAAATCCACAAGACTTTGAAATGTATCACGCAGGTCACAGACATCCATACAATTCCAGCGCGGCATGAAAATGCCCCCACCTGCACAGGTTAATTGTTAACCAAAAACTTCCTGAACAGGCAATGATTTAACTCCACTAAGAGGTTGCTGACTGCAGGAGCTAGGTGCCTAAGCCCCTTGGACTTGATTTTCACATTCAGGGTGAATTTTTTTTCTTGAAAATGCTGTCTGGCTATGTGCCTTCTGATGGACGCAGAGGACACGAATGTGTCGAACACGTTGAGTGCACAAAAAGGGATGTGTATGCCTGGGAAGGATTTGGTCTGGTCAGCTCCCTCAAACTCTTGTCTAGGGTAGATCTGACTTATATTTTATATATATTATATTT